TCGTCAAATCCAAAGAAAGAGAGGGCCACTACACCGCCCTGCAAAAGTTCTTTCAAAGGATCAGAGAATTTCGGTTGCGGCTGAATCCTTAGAAGTGTACGTTTGGTGTTACAGCAGGAAAGATGCTGGGGTTTTTGATTACACAGAGAGGTATCGAAGTCGACCCTTCCAAAATCAAGGCCATCTTAGAAATGCCACGACCAAGGACTGAAAAGGAGGTGCGAGGCTTTCTGGGTAAAGTGCAATTCATAAGATGGTTTATCTCAAAATTAACCTTGACTTGTGAACCACTTTTTGGCCTCCTGAAGAAAGGAAAAAAATTCCAGTGGGACGGCTGATGCCAAGCTGCTTTTGAACAGATCAAGGAATACTTACAGAACCCACCTATGCTGTCACCGCCTGAGCTGGGGAAGCCGTTGATTCTATATCTTTCAGTAACTGAAGCTACAATGGGTTGTATGCTCGTGCAAGAATCAGAGGACAAAGTGGAAAGAGCCATCTACTATCTGAGCAAGAAGATGCTAGAGTGTGAGACTCGTCACACGCCATTGGAGAAAGCTTGCCTAGCTTTGGTATGGGTGACCAAGAAGTTGCGATACTACCTGTTAGCTCACTCCATAATGTTGGTTTCACGACTGGATCCCATCAAATATCTTTTCGAGAAACCGGCGCTTACGGGTAGGCTGGCTCGCTGGTTGCTGTTACTTTTCGAATTCGATCTGAAATATGTGACATGCAAGTCAGTCAAGGGAAGAGCAGTGGCGGAATTTTTAGCTGATCATCCGGTGGAAGGGGGTGAAGCAGTCAAGTACTTATTCCCAGATGAGACCATTTTACATATCGAAGATGAAACTTGGACGATGTACTTTGACGGAGCGTCAAACCAGTACGGGTATAGGATAGGGGTGTTGCTAATAGCACCCGACAATTCCCGTATCCCTTTAGCCTTCAAACTCCGATTCAAAGTCTCAAACAACGAATCAGAATATGAGGCGTGCATTGCCGGTTTAGAAGCAGCCCTGGAACTAGGGGTAAAACAGTTGGACGTCATCGGGGACTCGAACCTTGTTGTGTCTCAAGCAAAAGGAGACTGGAAAGTCAAAGAAGAAAGGATGATAATGTATCACCAGACCTTGGACTTGTTAATTCCTCGGTTTGAGAAGTTAAACTATGCTCATCTAGTAAGAGAGAACAATAGGTTCGCAGATTCACTAGCAACTCTATCTTCCATGATAGACATCCCGTTTGGAGTCCGGATGCGTTTGATCGTCATTGACCAAAAGTTTGCGCCGGCATATGAATCAATTGCTGCCATAGATGAGGTTAAGGACGAGAACCCCTGGTATTACAATATTTGGAATTTCTTGGAGAAAGAGGCGTATATACCAGGGGCGAATGCCAAGGATAAAAGGGCAATCAGAAGAATGGTCGTTCAGTTCATCATTTGCGGAGGTAAATTGTATAAAATAGGTCATCTGGGAATGCATAAGCTGTGCGTTGAAGCTGAAGAATCAAAATGCCTGATGGAGGCCATCCATGGAGGGGAAGGCGGTGCACATATGAACGGGGTAATGCTAGCCAGGAAGATCTTCAGACAGGGTTACTACTATAGGAGGATTGTATCGGCTTTGTTCGGCGATGCCACAAATGTCAGATCCACGCAAACCGCATGAACATTTCGCCGTCGAAGCTGTACAATATGACTTCGCCATGGCCATTTTCGGTTTGGGGAATTGATGTGATCGGAGCTGTTACTCCGAAGGGGGCAAATGGGCATGAGTTCATCCTAGTTGCGATAGATTATTTCACAAAGTGGGTTGAGGCCCAATCCTATGCGGTGTTGAAGGCGTCACATGTTGCAAAATTCATCAGAAACAACATCATCTGTCGCTACGGGGTCCCGAACGAGATCATTTCAGATAATGGTTCCCACTTCAAGAAGGAAGTGATTGACTTGTTAGAAAAATAAAACCTGGCTTTTCATAAGTCATCCACATACCGGCCACAAACCAATGGAGCGGTTGAGGCCGCCAACAAGAATATCAAACACATACTGCAGAAGATGGTAGAAACCTACCGGGATTGGCCAGATAAGCTGCCGTTTGCTCTGTGGGGTTACTGGACTTCAATCAGAACTTCTACTGGGGCGACTCCGTATTCATTGGTTTATGGGATGGAGGTGGTCCTACCCATTGAAATTGAGGTTCCACCTTTGAGAATACTAGCTGAGTGTCAGATAGCCGAAGCAGATTGGCAGCAGAGCAGATTTGAAGAACTCATGCTCTTTGATGAGAGAAGACTAAAAGCACTGCACCATGTTCAAGGTTATCAACGTAGAATTGCCCGGGCTTTCAACAAGAAAGTTAAGTCCAGGAATTTAAAAGAAGGAGATTTGATGCTCAAAGACAACCGAGCTCCCATCCATGACCCTAGGGGCAAGTTCAGACCCAATTGGACTGGCCCTTACATCATCATGTCTATCTGGTCAGGTGGAGCTGTCGTTCTGATGGACCTAGATGGCCTAGAGTTCTCACAACCGATCAACATGGATAAGTTGAAGAAATATTACCCCTGAGAGGCTCGCTAGGCCGAAAACCCGAAAGGGCGACCCAGACAAAAGTTAGAGCATAGAAAATTGGAAAATATAACACTACAAGAAATTACACTTTTGGCGACAACTTTTGGCGACGACGTCAATTTCTCATAGGCAAAACTATATTTTTGGCGACGCAGTGATCAATTTCGTTGGTAAAAGTAGACCTTTACCGACGCAATTTACTACCGTCGCTAAAAAAGTATAACATTCACTAGGCGCCAAAATTATGGACTGGCGCCAAAATTTAAAATTTTTTAGCTACGAGACTTATTTTTTAGCAACACAATAAGTGTCGCTATTAGTGTGCTTACTTTTGGCAATGACAAGTTGGCGTGGGCAAAGAGTTAAACATTTAGCGACGATAACACTATTCGTCGGTAAAAGTTTTGCTAGTGAAATGATGTGATTTAGTAATTTGTGTTTTTATTATGACTTTCAAAGAGTTTCAAATATTCTAGTTATTGAATTGTAAAATTAAAGTGATAATCGAATTAGATCACAAAATGAACCCACCATGCCAAACACACTCTTAAGTTGAGATGGCAAATTTGAGATAAGTTAAACTTTTCCAAAGAATGTTAGATTATCAATTTCAATATGTTTGGTTTTATTTGCAGAAACTTGTTTGAAATTTGTTTTTTTTGAAAACTAAAAAAAAAATTGATGAAAAATAAAAAAATACTTATTATTTTTGTATAATTTTATCTTTTAAGAAGTCATAAATAATTTTAAAAATTTTAAAAATATATTTTTGATTTTTATAATTCTCAAATTAATTTTAATTTTGAAAAAAAAACAAAAAAAATATTTTTATTTATTTATTTATTTATTGGAGATCTGCCTCTAAAAAAGGAGGCGATGGTACCTCTCAAAATTTCCCCTTTTTTTCTAAGATAGGTAAACCCCTCTTTTGTTCTCTCTCTCTCTGAAAAAACACACAAATCAATTCGGAGAATACAATCAAGACCCTTTCTTAATCGCTCTGCAAATTCGTGGACTTCGGGTGAGACCCAATCAAGAAGCAATCGAGACCTTCGTGAGCATCACCGGCACGTCTGAGTCGGTCGCCTTGCAAAAACTCGAGGTGAATTTTTAATTTTTTTGTTTTTTCCGCATCATTTAGCGATCGAAATTCGCGATTAATGTGATTGTTTGTCCTAGGGTTTTGTATTGGAGTTTCAATTTTTTGTTCATGTGTTGCATTCCGTGTTGGGTTGTTGGAATTAGCTTAAAGTTAGGGTTTTTTTTTTTAATTAAAAAAACTACTTCGATTGTGGATTTAGTTTGTGAGTGTTGTTCTATTCTCATTATCATCTGTAAAATGATTAATTTTCTAAAACCATCTTTCTAAAATGAATTTTCTAAAATGATTAATTTTCGATTGTTGGGTTGTTTCTTTATTTCTTCATTCCATCTCTTTCTTAACTTCTGTTTTCTCTATTTTATCAACGATTGAATTTACAGCAAACTCTTCTATCTCAGGTTGGTCGGCAACCACCAACCCATTAAGTGATTTTACTTTTAAATTTGTTTGGTAACAGAAGCTAACTTCAAGCCTGGCAATCTTGTTATTACCAATTATTTTATCAATGTACACTTATTTTTCATATAGCAGTACACAATTTTTGACACAATCACCATGCCCATGTTAGTGTCCAGATTATTTGAACTTTGCCTTTTCTAATTTAATACACCTTTATGACAATCACATACAGTTTTGGTGATTAGAATTTAGCCCATTATTTACTTGTTTTGCTCATACAAAATTGCACCATTGTAGGGAAGCAAGTCAAACTGTTGGGGGAAAAGGTACTTATCTATGGAACTTCAAATTCTGATTATATATATCTTTTACCATTATGCTCAATAGTTTAAAATCCAACTGTTTATTCTTTGGCCCCACCTGAGATGCCTGCAATAGACTTGCTTCAGTCATGTAATTGATTTGTTGAATGTCACTTAATTACAGTGGAGCTTGTCATTTGTGTTGTCACCTTGTCTTGCAACATCTATTTCAAGTTTAAAATTCTTTGCAAACCTCACGACTGCACATCCTCAGCACCGTTGGTCCCCGTACGCCGCAAATCAGCACCGCCACCGACGCTAACAGGTTCGCTCTCTTGCTCTCTCGCTCCCACTCTCGGTCTCTCTCTCTCTCTCTCTCTACCCCTTCTTCTATTTACCCAACTGTGAACTCTTGCTTTCTGGTTGTTTATTCTACCCATTCGGTTTAATTTTGTCTTCATTTCTGAAATGGGTTTGTCTGAAGTGGTTTCATTACTAGAGTTTTATGGGTTTGATGTTGTAAATGGGTTTGATTTCATGCCATTTTGTGGATGATGACGGTGTTTTCATATATAGATTTCTCACATCACTTCATTAAGGGTGTTGACGTTATCATCCGTTTGGTAGACTTATATTTTCTTTTTGTTCTTTTTTTATTTTTTACACAACTGTTGGCTTCTAACTCTGTCCCATTTTGTTCTAGCTTTCTGCTTTGCTTTCTAACAAAGGACTTAACATACGTGAGGTACACATGTTCTCAACTGCTGATGGTTATTCTTTGGATGTATTTGTGGTGGATGGATGGCCTGTTGAGGTATTTCTTAAATTCTTTTGTAACATCTTTATACTAATACTGCTTTGCTTTTGTGCTATTCTGTTTTCCATATTCAAATAGTTTGGTTCCACTTCTTCTAAAAATGTTTATGCCATTGCTGTCTCTATCTGTCATGGTACTTGCTTTTCTCACTGTAGTGTATTCTTTCCCCAATCTTGCTCTCAAAAAATGCATAGAGAAAAAGTGATAGAAGAAATCAAAATAATAGAATCCTACACACTGTTACTTCTCCTGTTGTATGATAATTAATGTTATGTGCTTGCTCTGCGAATATTATTTGTTACCTTGTTGGTGGTATGTGAATGCAAGAAAAATGCTTATTTTACTGATATTACATCTCATCTAGATGGTTGTGTAGACTAACTGTGCATATGTCGAGACAGTGAGGTCCTGTAATAAGGAGCATTGTGATTATATTTCTTTTATGACAGGGATCTGTGGTGAGTCCAAATGTTGCTGACTTTGCAATGTTGTGGTTAGGATACAAAGGGATTATGTGAAGCTATGGAGAAAGCAATTGCTAGAAATGAGGTAACTAATTTGTTTCCATTCTATGATTAATTGCTCCTCTAAATATATCCTAAGATAATTTGTATGCTTTTTTTCCTTCAAATATATCCTATTTTTCATTCTATCTACTTCTATGGTTTGACTTACAAGAAAATTTACATGACTGAATGGTTGTACCAGTCGTTTTGGTAAATTTGTAGAGATCCAATACGATAAGCATGGGAAGATCTTTGGAGCTGCAGTTCGAACATATCTTCTTGAAAGATCGCGTGTTTGCCAAGTCTCTGACCCAGAGAGGAACTACCACTGCTTTTACATGCTCTGTGTAGCCCCACCTGATGTGAGCTTATGCAATCGAATCTAAATCACCATTGACATGACGCACAACAACCATACATAGTGAGCTAACAGTAATATTTTATTCCAGGATGCGAAAAAATTCAAACTAGGAGACCCAAAAACATACCACTATCTAAATCAAACCAATTGTTATGAAGTGCCAAATGTGGATGATGCAAGGGAATATCTGGAGACCAGAAATGCCATGGATATTGTAGGAATCAGCCAGGACGAGCAAATGCATGTGTGTGTATGTGTGTGTATCCACTATGTGCAAAAACAGAGAAAATTATTGAAATGAGCCATTTTATGAATCCAAATTAATATAATGAATTTTATTTTTATTTTTTTTGTAGGATGCTATATTCCGTGTGGTAGCTGCAATACTTCATCTTGGAAACATTGACTTCGTCCAAGGGAATGAAACAGATTCTTCAAAACTGAAAGATGAGAAAGCACACTACCATCTTCAAACAACTGCAGAGCTACTCATGTCAGAACTCTAATCAACTTGACCTATTAAATACTGTTTGGTACATCTTCAAGACTTCAACTATATACTTATATCAACTTAATATGCTTATATCCAGGTGTGATGAGAAAGCACTTGAAGACTCACTTTGCAAGCGTGTGATAGTAACTCCAGATGGAAATATTACAAAACCACTAGATCTAGCTTCAGCTGTCACAAGTCGTGATGCCCTGGCAAAGACAATATACTCCAAGCTTTTTGATTGGTAAGTAAATTAAACACACTTCTATGAATTTCAATTTTTTTTCCCTCCAGACTGATAGCACTCCAACGTCAGACGTTTATACTCATGCTAAATCAATTACATTTGGAAGGAGGAAACAAAAATGTCTGGTGTCTCAGATTCCTCGTCTGAGCTGAGTAAACAAATAAGAAAAACTCAAGTACAACAACACTCAGAGAAAATTATTAAGGAGTGACGGTTATTGTTTCAGAGACTTTAGGATGTTATTAGTTGTGGTGAAACCACAACACCACGAGGACACTGTTGGGAAACTCATCTTAGAGACTGCTTATTTTGATGGACCATTTTCCCCATGATGTTATAGAGACCTTCATGCAGAAAGACTTCTAAGAATTGGACTGTTTATAACTTCTATTGAGGGCACGGAACTGAAATCCCTATTAAAAGTGAAGTTAGTTCATGTCAAGCCTTTTATCACAGGGTACTTAGCCCCCTTGACTCTTAGGCCTTACGATGCACAATTAGTTACTGGCTGTATAGCTTTTCAAAAAAATGCAAGTACTTCCCACTTCCTGTAATCAGGCTGCAAGATCAACAATAATCATATAGAGACTGGTAGATTTCCTCATAACAGTTTGAGTGGAATGTCATGCATCCATCTTATTATCTTAACTTATTGATAAGAAAGCTTGTAACCAGTGGTTTCTAAATTATTTTATACTAAAAAATTTATCCTTAAATTTAATTTGGAAAACTTAAAATCTTTAGCACTAGTAATTCAGCCCTGTAAATATTAGTTTAATCAAACAACAGTCTACAAATTAACTCAGCGAGACCTAGAGTACCTTGCGTCAAACAGTCCCTAACATAACATCAAAAAAAACAAAGACAAATTATGGATTGAACCAGTCAGAGGATTTACTATGAAGAGCTAACCAGGTCTTCTTCAAATTGGGTCTAACTATATTAGCAAATTGAAGAAGCTGCTCAGACCCTCATTTTCAAATATTAGGATCTCTGGGTTGTTTATCAACCATTTGAAATTTGACAATGAGAGAGATAGAGAGAAGTTGGATTTGATTTAACTTGCTATAAACCGGAAACTATTGCCATTAAGGTCACAAGTTCTAGAGGATATTTCACTTCTTTGAGGAAAAAGGATGAACCAAAGCTCAATTTGAGTGATAAAGGGATGCTACCCCCATTCAAGACTGCCTCTCTAATATTCAAGAGTTTCTTATAAATTTTTGTTGTGTTTAACGAAGGAAAGTAGAGTTGAGCATACAACTTAGTGCTCACATGTGAAAATTAAACAAGTAAAGGCATGATGAATCTTTAAAAAAATTTATGTTTTATTTTTCTCTTTTACAAGTTACAAAAGAAGATTATTTTGAGAAAGTAGAAGGCTTATTTTTTTTATATACATATATTTTTTGAAAATTAGTACTAGAAGGCTTATTGATTCCCAAAGATTTGTTTTCCCGACTGATGATGATAATAATGATGGCCTACGATCTCATGACAGATGGCTCCTTGATTTTAGTGGTGATTTCTTTGATGATGAGGTTGGTGGTGATTCCGGGTACAGAAAAAGTAGAGCTCACAGCATGAATGAACAACGTTGGCATTTAACATCTGAGGTAGGCTTTTAAGTACTCTCTTCTGACTAATACCCCCATCCATTTTGAATTGATTTTGTATTCTTTTGGCTAATGCATATCTTTTTTTGACGCATTGAGAGTAGCTTCACTCGCTGTATCTTTGTTCCTTGATGAAGCCATCATGCATTTCATACTTAATATTAGACATTATTTCATTAAATGCTTAAGATATCTCATACCTCTCAATACCCCTGCTGTAAAGTGAGAGTGCAACCTTATTTTATTGGCTACATAACTTTTGGGGACATTAGGTCTTAGATGTCTATATACTGCAGAACAACAACACTTATTTGACTGTAGGATTTTTTTTTAACAACAACACTTGTTTAGAATAGGATAACTATTCTATTTATCCAATAAATAAATGGGATAACTATTCTATTATATAAAGTGCACCTGAGTTGTGTCGGAAGCTGTCACTTTTTCTTTTTTTTTTTAAACTTTTCCAAGAATGTCTTTATACCTAGTAACTGTCAGTCTTTCCCACTCAGTAGCCGTCACATCTAATAACAGTAAGAATAATTGTTTCTTTTGTCAAACCGTCCAAAATTGCTATTAGTTTTCCTCAACCATCATACTATCCAAAAATTTAAATATAAAATTGCAAATGCGTTTGCACACACCGCTTGTACATATATATGTGGGAAGGATTCTCATGGGTTGCTTTTTATGGAAATTTTCTCTGAAGCATTTTTTTTAATGCACTTTATAGTGGGAAATTTCACTTGTGTTTTTTGTAGGGTGACGTGGGAAACAACGACATTGACAGTGACGGTGTTGTGGCATGTACCTTCTGAATAAGAACAAAAACTGAGGAGGATCGGAATTAGCTTGCAGCAACAATTCAGGAATATGTCCCTCCTGCTTGAAAATACACATGGAACTGATTTTCCATCACATTGTACAACCCTTGAGCTTTAACAAAATTGCAAATGCAAAAGTTGTGTAGGGTGGTCTTGTTGAAGCTGATGAATCCTCCTTTTCTTTCGGAAGGAGGGCGAGCTCCAAAAATCTACCAAGCGAAGCCAATATTCAGAAGTTGACAATATTTTCATATGTACAAGAGGCTAATGCACCTGTATCATGTAGAGAAGAAAGGATGTTCTCCTCCAAAGTGGGTATTTTACATTCTTTTTTTTTTCTTCTATTTATAATGCAAGGATTAGCAAAGAACTTGGCTTGAGTAGCTCCTATTAAAATGCCTTTATATGTTGGTCATCTCTTCTGAAATGCCCCCAGGAATGTCAAATAATGCAGCTGGCCTCGAGGTTGCATATGCACCAAGCTCATCTGAGATGCATGAATTAGATTCGTCTGCTGCAGCTGCTAGTTTGTTGCTGCTGCCGCCCTTGTGGTTGATACTTGCTGGGCTGCTGCTGCTGCAATGTTGTTGTGAGGTGGTTGCTATAAGTTTGTGGATACTTTTCGTGTCGTTTTTCCAGTCTTTGTTAGTTTCATGTTTTCATTTTGTTATATGTTGTTTGTAATGTGGGTTCACAATTTGGATGTATTTGGGTATTTTAGTGAGTTTACCCTTTTAGGTTTTATACACTGCTTCTAAAAGCAGTATCAGCATTGTTTTTTTTGCTTGCACATCAACTTTAGGTGATTTCATATCAATGTTATTAGTTTGTAATAGTGGTGCCTGAGGGATGCCTCTTGTAAATCTGTAAGTCTTATAAAAATATATAAATTATTTTCAATTATTTTTGTTGGTAAATGTGTCGCCAAAAGTTTATTTTTCCCACTCATATTGTGTTGCTAGAAGTGTATTTTTAGCCATTGCCAATTTGTCGTTGCCAAAAGTAAATCTTTATCGACAAATAAATCGTCGGCAAATGGCAATATTTACCGACGTAAATGTGTTGTCAAAAGTTTACTTTTGTCCACTCATATTGTGTTGCTAAAAGTGTATTTTTTGCCAATGCTAATTTGTCATTGCCAAAAGTGAAGCTTTATTGTCGCCAAAAGTTTACTTTTGCCGATGCATATTTTGTTGCTAAAAGTATGTTTTTTGCCCATGCAAATTTGTGTCGCGAAAAGTGGCACACAATCATCATATTTGAATGACTTTTACCGACGCAAGGTAAATTACCGACGATGGATGAAGGCATTTAACGACGACTATGTTCGTCACTAAAGGCATTACATTTACCAATGCAATGATAATTTCGTCGGCAAAAACTTTTGCCGACTCACTTTTGCCTACGGGTTGCCAACGTAGCTTTGTGTGTCGGCAAAACTCTTTGCCGACGAATTTTTCCTTTTAGCAACATATTTTGTTGCATTGCAAAAAATGCAATTTCTTGTAGTGTAAAAACTGAGCTTGCAAGGTTGAAAAACCGCAAAGGGCGGCCTTGGCAAAAGTTAGAGCGTAAAAGGACAGTGAAAATACTAGAGTGAACCCAAGCCTGAACTACGTAAGACTTGATTCCCATCTTTGGGATACGTAGGCAACTTCATCCTGAAGTTCAGCCATAAACTTTTCCCCGATCAACTTTGTCCATTTGATCATCTCGGCCATCTTTGTCCATTTAGCATTCCAGAGTTCGGTTATGATCTCTAGTGAAGTGCTTTTCAGACTAGAGGCAACTTTCCATTACCATGCAGTGCCGCGGTACTATTCAAACTAGGGGCAACTTTCCAGTTGCTAGGATCCGAGGTTGTGCATCTCAGTGACAAATCTTAGGCGTGTCCAGTTCTGATCCATATCGAAAATAGTTTTGAAAAGTTTTGATAAAAGTTGACTTTGTTCAAATTAATCTTTTTACAACTTAGACCATTTTTGGACCAAAGCGGAAAATTTTCAATACTCACAACCTTCAATTTCATTGATTTCAATACAGAGTTCTCCTACTCTTGCATACAAATTGAAGTTACTTTTTATTACAATCATAAAGAAAACTTGAAAGTACTAATAAATCAATAAATCTGGGGCATAGATAAGTCAGGTATTCCTGCGCCCCCTCCCAGAGCTGGTTGAAGCCTCTGATGCCAAGTTGGGCCCAATCTGTGCCTCTTCATTGAGCCAATCTACGCACTCGTCAAATAAAGTGTAACTGAAAGTGGGAGTGGGGGCCAGGAGCTCTCTACTCCTCCATGCTGCGGCCTGTCGAGCAAGCTGTGCACCTCGGGCTAGGAACGCAGCTGGGTACTCTATTCCCTTCTGCAGGCAAATCTGATCATGGCCGAACTGGTGCTGGAACCGGAACGGGAAGTAGAACACGCAGTGAGTTAAGCCAATCAATTGAATCCTAGTCTACCGGGACATGCTGTAACCCATCGCCGGTAGGTTAAGACAAGGGCACCGCCAAGCAATGCAAACTGCAGACAAACTGCACATCCAGTCGAACCACCAGCCTTCATCAAGGGCATCGACTAGACGTTGTCGGAAGAAGTAACCCCGAGCTGAGTATGCTGAGCAAGAGTCCACGACCTGCAGCTTATCCATCAACCATACCTGGGAATGGATGAAAAATGAGAGAATAAAGAATAGAGAGACGTACAAGGAGAGAAAACTGAGAAAAGGGTTTTGTGAGAAAAATCGAGCCTGAGGGCCGAGTGATGTGAGCAACACATATATGAGATTAGGTGGGAAACATTACTTGCAACAGTAGTGGACTCCCCACAAATTTGGTCGTCTCTCGGCGATAGAAGGCGTCTAAGCCCATCAATGTCTCAGCCAGAGTCATGACAACGCAACTCTTGCCCTCCTTCAAGCCTAGGGCAATCTCATCAACCGGACGTTAGATCCTCCCAAGCCTGAGACAACTAGGAAATGAGATAACATGCACAAACAGAGGGCATGTCGCCGAAAGCCTTGCCAATGATGGTCACTACGGTCGCCGACATTAGAAAACCGACAAATCAAACTCGGAATATCCAACATTAATCAAAGATCGAGCGTCGTGCATAGTAAGTCCACACATTCGCCCTAAGGCTTGGGCGTGGCCAAAGCGAAGTTGAGGCAAGATTTCCTCATCCCCCTCGGATTCCATCAAAGCTTGAAAGTCTTCAAAGGTAGGACACATCTCTTGCCCACCAAAGCTAAAGACATGTGTTACCGGATTCCAAAACCTTGCCGCAGCATGGAGAAACGGAAAGTGCAGCGGAGTGCGACTCAGCATGAATAATGCATTCTTGCCGAAACCGCGAAAGTTCAGCTTTTCCGAGCCGTCCAAGTTGGCAATTCAAGCTGTGAGATTTTGGACAAGAAACTCTTCCATTTGGAGCAAATCAGTGTGGAATTAAGAAAAACTACGAAGCTGAAGCCTTTTGTAGGGGATAAGGTTGAGAGGAGGACAGATGTCAGCATTCTGCTAGTCTCTGCCATTTATGGTCGGCCGGCCAAGTATAGTGCCGACCGACCACAACTTTTGGCCGATTATCAAAGATGCTAGCCGATGGCCACTTTTTGAGGCCGATGGTTTTCCCCTGTGGCCGGTGGTATTCCTTCTTGCTCCCTGAGCTGTTTACATGCTCAACATGCTGGGGATTTACAGAATACCACCACTTCCAATGCCCTCCGATGATGACTTTTGCGACGTCACGCCCATTTGCTTATCGAGTTGCTGTAAATTTGCTTATCGAGTTGTATGTCACATTTCTTCGAGTTTTTGTTTCGCTTATCGAGTTGTACTCACACTTCGTTAGCTTATCAAGTTTCTTTGTTTTTCTTATCGGGTTGTTAGTCGGTTCACTACCTGATTATTACGATCCAAGTGCTTAATTTTCAAACAAAGTTCAATTTCATTCACATTGTTGTGTGGTGCAATGCGATGCGATGCATGGAAAGTACAAATATAAACCTTTTTGAACAAAATAGTTGTTTCATTTCCATCATGTCTTTTGCAAAAATATACAGTTTTGAAAACTTGCATGAGGCAGTGCAATGTGCTTAAACTAACAATAGAAAAGAAAAGTAAAGCAAAAGGAGGGCATAGTAGCAGAGTGTTTAGATTAACACCGGTGGCCTCCCCTTATGATAGATGCACCTTCCGCGCCTTTGTTCGGGTCAATTATACGGTTTGGCACCTTCATTACTCGAGATAGTGCAAGAAAGTGCGCTTTGGAATGTTAACTGGTCCTTGTGTTGACGTCAAGCCATGTCTCCTGTGTGTGATGTTCGGTGCGTGCAAGGAGCATCCTTTCCCCACGCTCATTACGCATCTTGCTTTCAACAAATGCCTCGTCTTGATTTGGTTGCATCTCAACAAATGCGACTAGCATGCCTTCACTATACTTTTGCGGTACATATATTCAAATTCCAATTATACACAATGCCTGCATTACAGCATGCTTTACTTACATGTGTATATGTATTCTCAGGTGGTTACACATTGTACACATTTCTGTGTGTACTTTACTTACATGTGTTCATACCTTGCTTGCTTCACACATTGCATGCGTTTCCACGTGTGCTTTACTTACATGTGTTTATGCATCTTATAGGAGGTTACACATTGCTTGCGTTAACCCGCATGCTTTACTTATATGTGTTCAAGTTCCTTTTATACACATTGCATGCGTTGTCACGTTATGCTTTACTTACATGTGTTCAAGTTCCTGTTATACACATTGTATGCGTTGTTGCGTTATGCTTTACTTACATGTGTTCAAGTTCCTTTTATACACATTGCATGCATTGTCGCGTTATGCTTTACTTACATATGTTCAAGTTCCTGTTATATACATTGCATGCATTGTCGCGTTATGATTTACTTACATGTGTTCAAGTTCCTTTTATACACATTGCATGCGTTGTCGCGTTATGCTTTACTTACATGTGTTCAAGTTCCTTTTATACACATCGCATGCGTTGTCGCGTTATGCTTTACTTACATGTGTTCAAGTTTCTTTCTATACACATTGCATGCGTTGTCGCATTATGCTTTACTTACATGTGTTCAAGTTCCTTTTATACACATCGCATGCGTTGTCACGTTATGCTTTACTTACATGTTTTCAAGTTTTTCTTTCTATACACATTGCATGCGTTGTCGCGTTATGCTTTACTTACATGTCTTCAAGTTTTTCTTTCTATACACATTGCATGCGTTGTCGCATTATGCTTTACTTACATGTGTTCAAGTTTCTTTCTATACACATTGCATGCGTTGTCGCGTTATGCTTTACTTACATGTGTTCAAGTTCCTTTTTATACACATTGCATGCGTTGTCACGTATTGCTTTATTCACATGTGTTCAAGTTCCCCATCACACACATTGTACACGTTGTCACGTGTTCTTTACTTATATGTGTTTGTGCCTTCATAGCATTGTTATGCTTGCCCCAAATTGCATTGTTATGCGTCC